ACAAGTAACAGCAACTGCCTGCCGCCTGCCTGCCTGTTCAGTTCAGGAAAACTCGTCTCTAAAGTAGTTAAATTTTTCCATATATTTACTTACTTTTATTTTTATAAGAAGAAACTTTCATTTTAGTAAACGTTTTTCTTGCGAGCTTGACTGGCTTTACTTTGGTATTTGTAATATTGTACTGTGCTCTGTAGTCGTCCTTTGGGTTATATTTTCCTTAGGTTTGCATATTTGTATGCTTGTTATATGTTGGAGCGTCATTTCTAAACGGATGTTGTATCCTTTAGTGCAAGCTAGCAGCATTGTTTTTCTGTTTTTGTAAAGTCTCTTTAGCTTTCCAATTTGGGTGTACTGTGTACATCTTAAAATTGCAAATTACGGAGTTGGATTGTGTGTCCTTTTACCATGCTGAACTAAGTTTGGTACGTTTAGAAATGCTTTTTGTTGGCTATAGATGGATTTGCTTAATTCCATAGTTGATATACGTTGTTTTGTACCTTAGTGCTAGTTTTGTTTTGGTGAAGTTTTTCATTTTCTACGAAAATTTACTAAAATTAATTTATACTTTATGAAATATGCCATAAAGAAAAAACTTTCCAGTATTGTTTTTATTTTTTAATATGCGAAAGTCATGGTTAATAATTTACAATGGTTTTTGAGGTCCAGTAAATAATGTGTTTTGGTACAAAGATAAAAATTAATATAATTAAAACACAGGCAATTCATTCTAAATTTAAGTAATATGAATATGTAAAGTTTTTTATATAGCCAATAATAAGAAACTAAAGGTTTCTAAGTTTTGTTAAGTAGACCATGCCATGCTTACCTTTGCAAATTTCTTACAGTATAAATATCTTGCCAAGTAATTTCTTTATGTCGATACTGATCCTTTGTTCCACACCTCATCCTGAAAATTTCTTCAAAAGTTCCACTTCAAAGGACCTAATCTAATCGTTGCATACATTTCGAACAATGACCTGATACTTACATTGATGATACTTACATTATTCCTTTTTGTATTTTGAACAATATTAGACCTTTTGTGGAATATATTTGGTTCGATTAGATATGTGGTAGTCCTGTTTTCGGTATCAGTTAATAATCTCTGTTTTACAGTTGTTTTTTGATTGATAATACATTTAAAGGAAAATACGGAAGGCTCCTTGTTTGACATAATTGTATTATCGTAAAGTGTAATGTCGTGTCTAGTCAGCTCATAAAAACAACAATCAACTAAGAAATTAGTGTCACCTGGAATTCGAATGAAATACATGTTATTTGCTTTAATTATTGTTATCGCTCAAATATGAGCGGTACAACTTTACAGCTCTTGATGTTGTCTTGTTGGCTTGTTGTTAATTTAATGGCATCTTGGATATTCATACCAATATAGATTTCGGTGCATAATCTGTTATTATACCTCATGGATGATTTTAACTTATAATATAATATTAATAATTATATGTATTATATGTACAGTGACGAACAAAATTATTGATACAGCAAGCAAATTGAACTTTAGCACTATTTTTATCCTGTTAATGATGCGATTTTCATAAAGAAACAATTTTTTTTAGATAAAATGATAAAATAAAAAATTTTCTTACTTGTTATACCTGTAGCTATGTGCGAGAGAATGCCTACGTAGGGGTACCCGATGTACCAAACTATGCATTCTTAAACACAGCCAAACAGCCCTAAAATTTTTAGCAAAATCTTTATTTCAATCAAAGTTGGTCTGGGAATGCTCAATACCCTAGCATTGAGGAAATATGTTACTCTTATGTGGGTACGGGAACATGAAGGGCATGAGGGCAATGAAATAGCAGAAGAAGAGTGCAGAAGAGAAGAGTCCTTTCATTGGTCCAGAGCCGCCCTTCTGCGGGGTAACAAATAGCTTTACAAATAACTTATGATGTGAACGGGAGAAATAACATCTACTTGAACACTGGACAACCCAAACAGGCATGCGACAGTCAAGAAGATTCATTGATCTTGAACACATCAAAGTTGATGCTATCCTTGGCCTTTAGCAGAAAAGACATTAAAATCTACACTAAACTTCTTACAGTACACTGTAAACTTAATTACCACATGGAGATTATAGGTGTAGTAGAAAGTGATTCCTGTCGACTTTGTCATGAGGAGAAGGAAACATCAGAACATATTCTTTGCAACTTCCCAGCGGCGGCAAGACGTAGACACGGCTACCTTGGAAGTGGGAGTTTAGTTCCAAATCAATTAGGTAAAATTAAGTTCACAGCAATTACAAGATTTATGAATAGTCCAAAATTGTTTTAGTTCGACCTTTAGCGGCGGCAAGACGTAGACACGGCTACCTTGGACCTTTAGGGTCCACGGCTACCTTGGACCTTGGACCTTTAGGGGCGCATAATAGATGTTTTAGGTTGGGAGGCATTCATAGCCTATTATTTCATAATAATAATAATATACCTGTAGTCAGAATGATAAAAATTGTACTCAATTTATTGTGATCTTTAAAGATTGTTTCAGAACTTTGCTTTTGATTTAATAATAATAAACACATTCAAAATTTGTTTTTATTTTAGAATTGTGCAAATTAAAAAAATCGGGTTCTTAAGTTAACTATTATATATTTAGTGACTTAACTCAACATGAGGCATCATACCACTTTTGCGAACTACTTCATTTATACTTCATTTATATCGCCACACTTACGTCTATTTAATCTATTTTGCACAGTTGAGCCCTACTAGAGTCAGTTAGTATTAAGGACTTCCTGGTAGGCAACTAAAGCTTAAATGAGTATGGATGATTTGTTGTTGGGTCTGTGATGGTATATATGTTAATAAATTCAGGGGGTGATTTGAGTGAAGGTTGAAATTGCTCGCTTACTGTAAATGTGTATATCTAATGTGTGTCTGTGTATATGTGTGCATTTTCACAAATGGATGTGGAAAATCGATTAAAATTATACACAAATACAAACGCATGCACTCCAACTGATAAACGACTTTATACGATACGAAACGATTTGTAACGAAATGAAACGACTCCACATAAGTTCGTCGTGTATTTATAAAGCTTAAGAGAATGAAAGGACGTTTACTGTTCACTGCTCACTGCACCCCACACAAATTGTTTCCATTGTATTTGTTGTTGTTGTTGCTGCTGCTGAATCCCATTCTACTCTGTTATACTGTTCGTATTTTCATTTTGTGGATTTGCACTCTGTATAATGTTCATTCAGCTTATAGAACGATGTGCTGTGTTCGGGCACTGCTGCTGTTTATGATATCACACATACGCTACAATCAAAGCTACAATGTATGTTTGGGTATGTGGATTTGACATTGTATATATTATAGGTATTAATCCATATAAAAATTAAAAAAAAAAATAAAATAAAAAACTTAACTGATGTTGAAGTTGCCGCCTCGTAACGGTAATGGTACTGGCAGTATCTACGTAAGGAAAAAGTATTTTGATTTTTTCCACTTTAAACATTTTTCATTCTGTTTTTTTTTTTTTTTTGTTTAATTTTTACTTTGTGTTATTTGTATGTAAAAAAGATTGTACTTGATGGTTTGTGCACTTAACTCGGATATTACAACCAACTATGAAACGTTATTGTTAAGGTGGTTGGTTGAGTTCAGGACTGCATAATTTTACAACTGCTGCTGTTACTGTTATTGACGTTCTGACGCTTATTTTGTTTTCCTCCTTAATTCATACATTTTTTATGCATATTTTTGTTCCGCTTTTATATTCGCACAGTGTTAACGAATGTTACTGTTGCTTTTTCCATAATGAAAAATAACGACATCTCCTTGTTTGCTGCTTACCGACCGACCAACCTATGTATTATATTTGTTCAATAAAAATATTTACGGGTCCAGTGCACATAGTTTTAGGTCCTTCAATTGCATCAAAAAAAATGAGTTTGAATTTTTTAAAACTTTTACCATTTTCTATATTTTAAACATTTTCTATTAATGCGATTTTAATTGTCTACAAACGATAAAAATAGTCGGAACTAAGATTGCTTTTAATAAAAATTCCTTTTAGTGTTCAGGTAATCGATGGTCATTAGCTATATTATTGGTTCGCATTATAGCACCACTGTTGTATAAATTAATTTATCCAGTGTTATAATTTATTTGAATAGTTTAAGCAGCATTAAAACTAAAGTATATGTAATTAACGACATTTAATAAATTAATAATATAATATTATAAATAAATAATATTTATATTATTGGATCAAAAATCTATCCAAATCTATTTAAAAATCTATTACAGTAAATGTGTTACTGTACTTGTTAAGCAACGCAGATATTTTACTTGATGTATTTCAAACTTGAGTCCAAATAGTGGAATTATTGTTTCCTATAGGAACTATTTCACGAAATCTGTTCATTATACAATGTACCATTGTTGTTCAACAGATCATTTAGCAATGATTTTCCCCCCCTAAAAATGTGTACTATAAGTTTTTATAGATTTTCTGGTTTCACCCTAAAAATACTATAAGTTTTATATTATTTAGTTTCAGTTTCAATAATCATTAAATAATACATTTAATCCTCTTATAAGTGAATGCATATAGTTACTTGATAAATTTGAAATACATTAAAATTATAAAACTATAACCACTATTTGTTCTTTTAATTAAAACATTAAATGTAGAAACAATACATACATATATAGGTACCGTAATAATTTTTGCTGTCTTTGAAGATTTATGAATTTAATAAAGATAGCTAATAGATAATAATTGTTGAAATAGATAAATTCCAATATAACCCATCATTCAGAATAACAAAGATCTCAACTAGTTTAAGGAAAAATTTGAATTTATAATTTATATTCTTAACATTCTTAAATATATGGTTTATAATGTAAATTATAAACATACGCATAAAAATATATTATGTTTCCTAAAATATTACTATGTATAATATAATTTTATTTGTTTTATAATTAAATTTGTTAATCTTTTATTATTTCTGCTTTTAGACAAATTCTTCCAGAGGTCAATCACCTTATCCTCCGACGCATGGTCAAAATTCAGGTTCCTATCCAAGTTCACCACAACAACCGCAACAACCTGGTGGTCCACCACCGCCACCACAATCTTCAAATCAGGGTACAGCACCATCTCAATACTCGCCGTATCCACAAAGATATCCTACACCTCCTGGACCTGCTACTGGACCAAATCATCGAGCTGCCTACTCAACACATCAGGTAAATTATTTGGCTCTTCATATTAATACTTAAAATTTGTATACATAAGTTAAGGAAATTTGATTAAAAACATGAATTATATTCGTACTATTTTTAAATAACTTTTATATTTTATTTAAATGGGCAAAATACTTATGTGCAAAACTTTAAATTTTTACCATAATTATTTTAAAATTATTAAGAAAATAAATAATTTTAAGTTTACTTATTTGAATTGTGCGTACGAGTTTAATAAATAAATTTATTTTGACCGCTTGTTTTCCTATGCGTACATATCCTACTCAACCTTTTTTTGAATATAAACAATATTGTAATGTATGAAGTATTCATCCATATCGCAATGTTTACCGCAATTATTCTGGTTTGTTGTAAATAAATTATTTGCAAATTGCATTGTCAAATCAAGTACATTTTACTGTTATTATGGCAATCGAAGTACAAAGCTATTGTTTTCATTGCGTACACCTCATCTCTTTTATCATTATTGCTTGTCACTTGCCATATTTTTAACACAAATAAGATTTTACATACGCTTATTATATATAGCCATTGTTTTGAAGATTTTGGTATCATTATTATTGCAGCCACAATTGTTTCATATTCATATTTCATTATAAAAACATTATATTTTGTGTTATATTATAGATGCTTGTGACTGAGATGTACGTGAAGTCTCTTAAAAGAAATACTGAAGTAATTTATTAAAAAGAGATTTAGGTTAGTTATTGTAATATCTTGTCGTAAGTTTTGCATAAACTAATCCATTTGACTCGATCAAATTCACATATGTAATATGAATCTGTTGATTCTTGGGGTGTTATTGCAGTTACCTATTTGGATTCTCTTATATCTAAAGATGAACCAAAACATGATCATTTCAATATTCTCGAAAAATATTCGTAGTTAGCTTAGATATATAATCTCAAGCTACATGTAAAGATGCATATTTTGGATAATACTATTATATTTTTCACTAATTCTGAAAGTGATTTTCATAAATTTTCGCGATTTAAGAGCATAGAAAGGTTTATATAATAAATCCATTTCTGTTTTGAATTTTATAGTACTATAGTATTTAAATTACCTTTGTACTTACAATTAGATCTCTGGAGCAGCAATATGATTATAGTGCAATGTTTAAACAAATTTGTTGCCCGCCTACCAATTTGTTAGCGTATAATTATTTAAAGAAAATTAAAACTTTTTAAAATTCAAGTTATATATTTATATAAAATTTGTTTGTTTATGGTGTATATCGAACCACTTAAATTCTAGTATAATTTAAAATAAAAAAAAAATTGTTTACCAAAAACACTATAAAAAATATGCATAATTTTAACAAATAATATTGCAGTATAAATATTGAATTAAATTTATGTGAAAAACTACAATTTTTTGTTAAAAGAAATGCAATTTCATTTCATTTCATTTCTGAAATAATAAAAAATAAAATAAAATTTTGTTATAGAATAGAATATTTCTGAAACAATTGAGGTGAAAATATATATATGTATATATACTAAATTTTTTATTTGAATTAAAAAATACACAACTAAGCTACTTGGATGAGTATGTTGATTAAACACTAAAAAATAAATACATAAAATTTTTTTTAACAATATTTTATTGAAATATTGAACGCAAAAAATACATACTCTTTTAGCTTATATGTTTTTTCTGCTTGCATTAGTATATTTAAATGTTTTATTTTTATGTTGGATATTTAATTTAATTTTTTTTTTATTCTATTTTATTTTATTTTTTAGTATACTGAACCAAATCGACCTTGGCCTGGTGGTTCATCATCTCCTGCACCTAGTCCTGGTCCTGGTGGCCATCCACACCCACCTGCGTCGCCACATCATTTACAACATGGTGGCCCACCGCCTAGCAGCAGTCCAGGGCATGCGCCCAGTCCATCACCACAACCATCTCAGGCCTCACCATCACCGCATCAGGTAATTACATTATTTAATATAGCAACATAGTTTTAGCATTGCTTTCGCAAACAATTGAATTCAAATTTGTTTTATTTTTTCTTTCTTATATACATATTTATCTATCCGTGATTATTAAAAAAAAATTTGAAATGGCAGTTAGCAGTTAAGCCAAAAAAGAAACTAACAATAACCAAATATACTTAAAATTATAAAAACCAAAATTATACGGGTGCTTGCGAAATAGCAAAATTCGTATAAAAAAAGAGAAAACTAAATTGTGACAAAAATGTAGAGAAAAGTTAGATTTAACCGATGCTTAAATTAGCTAAATGGACTTCCTACCTAACTAAATGAAACTAAATTGTTACTATTTTGTTATTTTCATAAGTGATTTAATAAATTTAATCAACTTTACTTTCTAAATTATTGATAGTTTCAAAATTTTGAAATACGAGTGCTGTAGCGTCAATTGTTATACACATGTACTTTTACCACTTACATTTAAAGATATAAACATATATTTGGCACGGATATAAAATTAGTGATTCCAAAAGGTTAATGCTGAAATTTTATTTTATTAACCTGATATAGTACATACAAATTGTTCTTAAGCAATCCAGATTCTACGTTCACACTCTCTCTCTCTCTCAGTCTTTCTTCGTTCACTCTCTCTGTCTTCGTTCACTCTTTCTCTCTTTTTTCGTTCACTCTCTCACTTTTTTTTCGTTCACTCTCTCTTTCTTCGTTCTCACGCTCTCTCTTTTTTGTTCTCTCTCTCTCTTTGTTCACTCTCTCTCTCTTTGTTCACTCTCTCTTTCTTCATTCACCCGCTCTCTTTCGTTCTCTCTTTTTATTTTTCGTTCGCTCTCTTATTTTGTTCTCTCTCCCCCTTTTTTCGTTCTCTTTCTTTCTTCGTTTTCCCTCTCTTTCTTCGTTCACTCTCTCTCTCTTTCTTCGTTCACTCCCTCTCTCTCTTTCTTCGGTCACTCTTTCTCTATCTTCTTTCACTCTCTCTTTCTTCGGTCACTCTTTCTCTATCTTTCTTCTTTCACTCTCTCTTTCTTCGTTCACTCTCTCTTTCTTCGTTCACTCTCTCTTTCTTCTCTCTCTCTCTTTTATCGTTCACGCTCTCTCTCTTCTTTCGTTCACTCTCTCCTCTTCTAATCTTAAAACATTCCTCTTTATCTTCTTAGCCTACTTTCTCAGTTTCTCTTTTTTTCCCTAGCTTTTTTCTATCTCTCTTTCGATTTCGCTATTTCTCTTCTATCTTTCTTTTGTTTTCTCTCTTTTGTCCTTCTTTCGTTCTCTCTCTTCTGTCCTTCTTTCGTTCTCTCTCTTCTGTCCTTCTTTCGTTCTCTCTCTTCTGTCCTTCTTTCGTTCTCTCTCTTCTGTCTTTTCGCTCTCTCTTCCGTCTTTCTTCTCTCTCTCTTCAGTCTTTCTTCTCTCTCTCTTTAGTCTTTCTTTATCTCGCTTTTCTATCTTTATCTCCCTTTTATATCTTTATCTCTCTTTTCTATCCTTATCTCTCTCTTCTATCTTTACTTATCTTCTTTCTGCTTTCTCTCTGCCTTTTGTGTTTTTTCTCTCTCTTTTTCTTTTTTGTGTTCCTATTTCTCCTTTCTCACTTCCTTTCTATCTATGGTTTAATATATACATATGGATGTACAATGAAATAGAAACAATTAAATATTTATCTATAGTAGTGTATTTTGGTTAGAATTATGTACAAATAGATGAACCATGAAAAAACAGTAAATTTGTTATTTTGGATGAAATTTATTAATTTGGATGAAATTAAACTTTTAAAGATACATTAGTGTATGTGTAGTATAGCATGTTTAAAGGAATTGCAAACCGAAGAAATCCGTAGCAATGTCAAAAAAACTAATTGAAAAAAATGTTAGCATTTTTAATTGCAAATAATAATTAATATTAAATTTAGATCCTTAGCCGTCTGTCTGTCTATTAAAAACTGTGATTAGTTTCCCACCACCGATGAAGTTTTACGTCAACGAACAAACAATAAAATCACGTGCGGTGTTGATATATTATGTTCAAATATTATTGATGTTGTTTTCAATTTTTAATAGAAAATTTGTTGTTATTTTTGGCTAGAATTAGCTTTGATGTTACCAATTTTATTCAAAACGATTCAATTTAATAAATTTTTATGCTTTATTGCTGTTGTTGTTGCTGTTTGTATATTTTGTCAATTTTAATAACGTATTCATACAAACCAATGGAATGAAAAAAAATTTTTTTTTTGTTAACCTATGTGTAACCTATATGTGACTCCAATCATACAATACGCCAACATACCTCACACAAATTTAAACGCAGTTGTGCAGCAGATAGAAACCAACTGCATCTATGTATGCATGCAGATATGAACAGGCAGCAATCGCCCAAAAAGCTACGATATCAAATTTAACGCCGCGCACCCATATCTTTTCATTTATCTGATAGCCAATTTATACGCTACCGCTTTAATGCCCAACGGTTGAGAAATCTCTTTTTACATATGCCTTGTTTTGCCTCCGCCGTCATCTCTCACCTCACCTTATGTGAATAATGCAGAAGCTACGCTGCTGTTGTGCATTCATACATGTGCTGGCTTGGGCTCCTATTAACATTGGTGTGTGGTAAATGAAATTGGAACTGCATTCTGTATACGCATAGTTTATATGTACCCAAGTATATACCTATATTCATAGATACTCATTTTATTTGTATTTGGCTGTCGTTGTAAGCATGATGTGCGCACTCGTTTATTCCGGTGGCGGCAACTATTTGCATTGCGGAATTAAATCGCTTTTGGTGTAACTTCAAATTGATTGCGTTGGCTGGTTTGGTTGAGTTGTTTTTAGTTGCTTTGTGCGCTAGGGTTTGGGATCGATGTGTTCAATTTTTAATTTGATATATACTGCTGCATGTTGATGTTGTTAGCCTATTTGCTTGCTATACAGATTTGGTTGTTGGTTGGTTATTGGTTGTTAAGTCTATGACTTTGGCGACGCCACTGATGATGATGATGATGTTGATGTTGATGTTATGCAATTCTATGCGTCGGCCAACAGTAAAATTTTTTATTTAGTTACAAATCGCGAACTCATCAGTGATTAAACGAAATACAAAATTGAAAATGCGAAATGTGAAATTCTGTTTCCACGCTGGTAGTTGCATAAATTGCGAACATTGAATGATGGAATGTTGGTCAGTCAATTTAACTATACCGTCAGTCGATCAGTTCTACCAATTTATTGTCAGATGTCAGTTCGGTATTAAATATTCTACTATGTTTGCTAATGTTGATAGAGTTTTTTTATAATTTTCTTTTTTATTTTCATTATTGGTGGAATTTACTTTCAGATGTTAATATTACATGTGAATTTAATTGAAATTTTTAATTGATATTCGTATTCCTTTAATTCTGAGTTTGCAGCATTTTTTAAAAAACAAAAAAAGAAAAAATGATTTGGAAATGGTAATCCATTCAGTTATCATTTTATATAATTTAATTTGCAACTTAAGTTTAAGTTATAACTAATATGAAAGAACTTTATATCAATTTAATTTTTTTATTCTTATTTTTTTTATTCGTTAATCAACTCTTAACTAACAAACGATATTTATTTATTACTAATAATATGAAAATAGTCTTTTTGAGATATATGCCTTTTACTACTATATAAAATTTTAAGTCATATGAAGAGTATTTGAAAAGTTTAGCCACTAACAAAATGTTTGGTTAGTCTGAGTTTTGGATATATTTTCAATATATTTTTCGTAAACGATGCTCAAACTATATTGCATGAATGTCGTTAAAATACCATTTATAAAGGATTTAAATTCTTTATTAAAAGAAAATTTACAAAATATTACTGATGAAACAAAAAGATTTTCTTTCCAAATAGAGTTATTATTCAATTATTACAGTATTCAATTTATCAACGACGTTATATAATGTACTCTAGTTATTGTGAAACCCAGAGTTGTCAATCAGAACGATCCCATGCTATCCCAAAAAAGAGTAGCAAAAACGTTATCGTCTGCAAACACAGTCTTTCTTCACTTTAAAGTTTGTTTATTTTTTCAAACCGCTATTTTGTTTATTCATTGATATACGATGATTAATTATAAAGGCAGATGTGATCGGTTGTACGAATCTGCTTTAAAAGTCATCCTTTTTGTCTTAACCATTCAGATCTTCCAAACGTAGAGAAGGCTGTATTTTATTTGTTGTAACTTTTATATTACTTTTACATGGATCGTAATTAATTTTACACATTTTCATATTAATTATAAAATAATTTACTAAAGTTATAGTTTTACAATTTCTACCGCCATCTATATGTTAGCTTAAAAAGTTTTTAGATACTACCTACGTATATAATTATAAAATAAATAACATACGACAAAAATATTTATTAAGGTCTGTTAGTAAATATATATTTGCTTAAAAAATTATTAAAAAAAAAGATTTGAAAAAGATGAGTTGTGATTTAATCAAACATGATTCAATGCAATGACATTTCACATTTTATTATCGCTCATTTGATAATTTGCATATACAGAATTCGAAAATAAATGAAAAAAAGATAAAATGCGGTTTTTTTTTGCATTTATTTATTAAACATTATTTCAATGAAGCTCATTCATTCACACGTAAATGATTCATTAGATCGTTCAGTTGAGTTGCCATGTATTTAGGCGATTGTGTTGCAGTTACCACAAGAAATCGTCATAAACATCGCCCTAATTGCAAATTTATACTCTTGTTGGGCATTAAATATTAAAAGCATTTGAAAATTCAATTAAAACTGAAATTTCAAATTTGAGATTTATTTTTAATTACTATAGCTAAAATAAAAATGTTTGCATCAGACAATGGATGACACTAAAAAAATTAAACTTCTACTTGCATTTTATTTGGTAATTAACTTGAGAAAATTTAAATTTTGTGGTATTGCACTGCAGCATCTATAACTAATTGTGAAGTAAATTATTGTGTGCTAGTA